AAAATTTATGCTGTCAAACAGCACAAAAGTGGAAAAATGGAAAATATTTTCCATTTTCCATGGAAAAAAAACCCAAAACACTGCCTAAGATCTTGAATCTATGTTAAATATAATATTTGAGTTCCTATTCAATTTCTAATGTCTCCACGTTCCTAACTTTTCAAGAATTAAGTATCTATCTCTCAATGGAATGAAATCATGTAAACCTTCTATTTTTTTTTCTCGTAAAATTAGCATATATTGTGCACGAGAACCATATGTTGATGAGTATTTTTTTTTTGCACATGGTCTATCTTCTTAACCATTTGTTTTAAATGTACAATAACTCGTATGTTCTAACATAGAAGACGAACTTTTGCATTTGGACCGTCCACAACCTCCTCCTTTAAATGAACTTTTATAAAATCACTAGGGAATTAAAATAATTTTTCGTAGAATTTTATATAATCCCTTTTGGTGTAGCTAAAATCAAATTTTCAGTAAATTTTGATAATAGTTGATGAAATGTGTGATTGAAAAATTGATTAAAAAAGATATGGATCTCATAATGAATGTGGTTAATTTTTTTTTTACTTTAACTAATATTTTAATCAAAATTTTAAGCCATACCAAACATCGGCATAGTTTTGGTGGCACATCATTGAGCGCTATGAATATTTTTAGTACTTTTTACAAATCATGTCATAAATGAATGATTTGATCTTCGACAATCACCATCCTTAGTTGGCTTGGAGAGCGTATTCCAAAAGACAACTTTACATTTCGACATTTGTAGTTGTAAGTCACTTTCTATATTATCTTGTGCAAGAAAATAATAATAATAATAATAATAATGGAAAATCAAATCAAAGTGAGTCTAGACATGTTCACACTACCAAAAAATTAGACTTTATGTTAGGACTTTGGAGAGAGACACAAGAAATATAATCCACAAGAAATCTTCTCTTTTCGATTTGACTCATTCCATTAGTTTAACTATTTAGAGAAGAACAATATGATAGAATTCTTTTGGTTTAAAACTTTACTTGTGGGCAAGAACTTTAATGGTGTATCTTCTTCTTCAATATCATGATTATAATCATGTATATACTTTATTCTCGCATTGTATCAATTTGAAAACATAATTTAAATGCTCAATCACGAGCAAAAATCTTATTCAATTACATACTTCCCAACTACTCGATGTGAATGCCGCAAAAGATGTGGTGGTTGAAAGTTATTCGTATTTAATGTCTTTCTCAACAAAAATGAAATAAAAGAAGTGAATCACTTCATGTTGTAGGGACACCAAGGTTTCTTGTAAGACATTTGAAAATTCTCTACTTTTATCACTCTTTTGCTTATAATTAAAAAACCTAATGCCTACTGGTTACCAACTCGACATATGAAAGAAATGCCTCTTCGATGGAAGTCTAATTTAATCGTTGTACAATGTAGCGATGTTGTGAATGTCGAAAAGTTTTTCATTATGGTATCAAAAAAATACTTACGTAACATATGGTAATTATTTCATATAAGGTAGGTTTCCCAGCGTACATCTCTAAATGAAAAAATAAGTCAAAAATCATTTTTTTTCGAAAACAAAAAAAACTTTATGTAAATAATCATAGAAAAGAAAAAAGGTTGGTAGAAGCCAAAACAAGTTAACTACCTTTAGATTGATCTATACACTGACAATATAGGTGAAATTTGGGGGGGAAAAAGGAGAAAAAGGTGATTATTGTCTCTTCTTCTTTTGGGTTTTCTGGGGGTGGGGTATGAGACTCATTGTAGTCTTTTCAGAAAATAAAAAAATATTAATTTTTTGTGTTTATATTCCCCTTTGCAAGAAATAGAAAAATTCCAAAACAGAGTTCTTAAGCAACTCAATAGTCCTTTTTCTTAACTAAGCACATTATAATGTGAAAAAAATGAGTAGGGAATAACTTAGTAGTTGTGAATCCTTAGAAATGTTTGGTTAAAATTATTGTTTGATTTTTTATTTTTGACATTTAAATTATAATGATATGCAAACATAGGCATTAAACAAAATCCTATATATCTAGCGTTAACTTGGAGTCCCGTGTATCTAAAGCACATTTTACTATGATCAATATAAATGTATGTAAACCCCAAAAAGTTATAGCATGACGAACCAAAAAAAAGTCTCAAGAAGGGCGGCTGCGCAACGTATGGATATTTAGAGGCAACCGTTCAATTTGAGAATGATGGACCTCGTACCTTGCGAGATCAATAGTAGATTTACGAGGCCAAACCAAATCAAATAAGTATTCAAGAAGAACAATATAGGAATGATCTTTACTATATAAGACTGAATTCAATAAGTCTCAAGAGTAATGGATAAATAATAAGCAAGGCATGACTAGGGGGTAGAGGACAATGTGTTCACCTGGTGTGCATGAGCATCTCTATTTGAAAAGAAAAATGTCAAAACTGGTGGGAAAGCAAGAAGTTCAACTATTTATTCCCAATTAATAGATGCGGACGATCTGGAATAACGTTCAATCAGCAGTAACACCCGCGAAGCCTTCCTCTGAAGATGCCCGTCCTCGTAAATACTGCGACCAGTGAGTCGCGTAAGAGGTGACTTAGCGATTAATCCATATAAGTCGACCATCTCCTTTGACATAAAGACTTTTTCCAAAAGGCTCAACGCTTCCGCTTTTAGGGACTCTGATCCCCAGCTTAGTACTTCTATTACAGGTCCAATGGCACTGCTCTCGTGCAGGACATTGGCTCCTCTCTGAGGAGACTCTTCCGGAACCAGAGTCGAGAGTGTCTGTATTGCTTCATAGGCTGTTGCATGTACTTTTCCCCGTAAAAGGTGAATCAAATCAGGCAGAGCATTGGCTTCCAACAGGCAAAATGTAGACCTCACACTACACACACCCCCGTGAGCTTTACATATTGGAAATCGTGCTCTATAGATACACCAGCAACCACGATCTTTGAACTCACAACTGAGTTCTTGACTGCGCATCGAAAGATCGCCTATTAGAGCTGCTGCTCGGGCATTTGCCGTGATTGAATCAACCTTAAGAAGGTCTATGAGCAAAGGATAAGCCTCAAGTTCGACTACTATATGCTGAGACTTAAGATTTGTTGGATCCGTAAACCTGAAAAGTGCACTTAGAGCATTTTCCTTTGCTTCCATGGTCCCGGATCTTAGGATGTTTATGATTGCATTCAACCCTCCTAATTCAATTAATTTTTCAGTAAGTAATGTCTCGGATTTAGGAAGGTTGGCTAATAAACCAACTGCAGCCATTTGTACGTCGTTTTTATCACAATTCTCGAGAAATCCAACTAAAGCTTCCAACCTTCTAGGCCTAAGAAGATATTCAACGACTCCCTCTGGTTCATGCTGAGAGAAGAGAAAAAGAAGATTGATTGCTAGTTCCCGTATTTCCTGGTTAGGGTCATCAAGAAGGGGAAGAATTACAGAAACACCACTAGCAGAAAGAACAGCAGACTTAACAAGTCCGGCTTCGGATTGACAAATTCCGAGAAGGGATCGTAGGGCAGGTCTCTGCACAATGTCACATCTGTGGAGATTTTCTTGAAAAGCGAGTAAGTGGGCAATGACAGGTTGTAATTCAAGTTGAGTTCCGGTTTCATCAACCAGAAATCTAGTTCCATCACCACTAGAAGAAAGGTTTGCAAGAATTTCAGCACATTTGGCAGTAATAATTGTGAGCATGTGAGACGAGAACAATAGCTTCAAAATCAGTGGGACACCACCAGCATCGGCAATAAGCTTTTTGTTGTCATGGAATGATGATAGTTTGACGAGTGCAAATAGTGACAGTTTCTTTGATTCAATATTACTGGATGCCATTTCAAGCAGAGGAGGAATTATTCCTTCCTCACCAAGGAGCTTTATTTTCTCTTCGTCAAGTTCCAAGCCAAGAAGTGCTTTCACCATCGACATTCTTGTAGATGATGATCCTGAAAAAATACTAAAATTATATCATGCACTAGAGCTTTTCGTACAATGCAAAGAAGCGAGCAAATCTAACTTATATGCATGAAAAAATATAATGATAAAATGATCTTAGACTTTCTCAGAACAGACAACTCCTCTTGGATTTTCACAATGGAATTTGCATCTAATTAGCCAGCCAGGTAGAGTTGATGCTATAAAATATATTATTTTATCATTTTTAAGATTTACTAACCTTGAATGATTTTATCAGCTAAAGGTGTAAACCAGTTCGCTTTAGCACCTTGAATAACGTTCTCATCCTCATCACAAAGCTTCATCAAGATTTCTTCAGATTTCTCGGCCAATGCTCTAATCGGACTTTTGAGAAGAGAGACGAGAAAAGGGATTGCATTATCATGCTGAGATAAAATCCTGCAATAAGGCACGTTCCAACCTGATCTTTCCTGCAAAACTTCATATAGCAACTCGACAGCAGCCTCTGATATGGTTGAGTCCAAGCCTAAGCATGGAACAAGTTTCTCAATCCCCTGATTTTTGATGAAGATATCCTATGTAATTTGGAGACAGACATTACATTTAATATAGCTCGCAGAATTACAAATATATAAAGAACAAGAAATCACACAAAATAAGAAGCTTAAAATTTGATTAACAGCAAGGATCAGCATGAGTTTATACATCCTAAAATAATAAAAACAGTAACTGTGAATACATTAAAATACACATGCAAGAAATCTAATTGAAAGGCAAGCAATGGTTCCATGTAAAGCATCATTTACTGATTCCCAGTGGAGTAAATTTGAGAGCTTAAAAATAAATAGAAAAGAATAAAAACAGACTGACCTTGTTTATAGCATGACCTTCTATAATATCCCTCAAGGTATTGAACAATTTTATCTTCACGGCTTCCTTGAGTGTGCTATCAAGCATAGTCACCATAACATCAGTAAGTCCGCCAACAGAAATCCACTCTTTGTTGATCGAGTTCTCCCTCATGAGATCTCTCATTTGGTCCAGAGCCTCTTCAACAGATGAGTCCATCTTCAAATCCAATTTTGCTTTGCAAGACCTAATTTTGAGACAATAGTTGAGTTCCCTCCACTCCTGGATTAACTGTCTCAGTTGAATGTTTGACCTGTACGAGGAATCTTGAAGAATTTCGCCTGTCTCTGGATCAGTTTTTTTCCCACTCTCGAACCAGTCTTCAAGAGCTGCTCTTTCACATGCAGTACCCGTGCAGAGGCTAACAGGATCGATCATCACAGTTTCAGTTATGCGACAAGTGAAAGCTTTAAATGGCTGAATATATTCTTCTTTGGAGTCGTATCGCTCTATGACTTTGAGTCTTTGGAAATACTGGTTCCTAACTTCCTCATAATCTCGGGCGGCATCTGCTCGAGAGAGCAACTCGATGACCTGCTCTAAGAACAGAACTTCAGCTCTTTCTTTCCTGTTGGCAGCTTCTTCTTTTTCTTTTTTGAAGTTCTCTAGCTCTCGACTTATCTCTTTGACCTCGACTGGAACCCCAACCGCCCTAGCTATTTCCTCAAGCATATCATTCGCAAACTCCTTGTCAAATGTTTGATCAGAAAGACCCTGATTTAACTTGTCAACAATTTCAAGTCTAGAATGCGATGCTTCAAATTCAGCCCTTTGCATCTCGGTTTGTAACCTATTCACCTGGTCTGATATTCCTGATAAAACTTCTACATTCACGAGGGATAGAGCTGCCAAAGACCTTCCAATATCTCTCGTAACATCCTGTATTTCCTTGACAATGTGCCTACACTTAACTAGTAAGTAGAAACGTGCTCGATCTTTGTACTTCTCAACTAGGTTATTGGCTTTTTTGACATCAATTTCAAGAGATTCCAGAGCTTGCCTTGCAACTGGTGAATCATTCAACTGGTTCAACTGCAATTCTTTTAAGACGGGCTCAATGTCAAGAAGATGCTTTCCTAAAACTTTAAAACTCTCTTTTTCAAACACGACATCATTCGCAGCCTGGGCAGTTTTAATGATTTGGTGGGTAATTACAGTCAATATAGTTCCAATTGGTATCAGTTCTGTCATCACAGTAAATATGCACGAATCCTTATCCAAATCAGAAGGTGGATTCTCCTCTTGATCAGTTGACAAAGCTCATGTTTCTTCTTTGTTCAATATATTTTCTGACCTTCCACGATATTGAACAAGACATCAAGGAAACCTATAGCAGAGAGAACTTCTGTTATGTTCATTCAAGAGATTTAATGAGTATAAAATTGGGAAAGCAAAACACACAACAATGGAAAACTATAAATCATCTCCATTACTAGAATCAAGGTAAGCATTTGTCTCAAACGCAGAAGAAGTACTCTGTTTGTATATGTATACCTTTTAAACCACCATCTACATTTCAATTAATTTATACACACTATAGAAGTAACTCAAATGTAAGCCAAAGCAAATTTAACACAAATCGAACTAAATACATTTAATTAACAAGCACCCATGTTAGAAATGAACAAAATCATATAGGAGAAATACTAATAAACTTATGGCTTGTTTGACGGGTTGGATTTGATGGGAAACATCAGCTAGAAAATGAAACTAAAGTCTTGCCCATTGTATTGTCCAGTAATGATCCCATTAGTGTGTTCCAAACATGTACTAAGTGTAAATTGTGGTTATCACAATATTTCTTTTCATTACGGATCCATGCCTCATGGCACAGAGAATCAATCCAGAAGAAATAATATACAGACAATATTAATTTAGAAATAGAAAATCCAGAGCTAAAGACAAAATAAACATCTTTTTTCCCTCTTCACTGCAATCAAGAAAATACCAGAAATCATAAAGCAATATAATTACAGAGAAAAGGGTTGAAACTTAAAAGAATTAAATTTCAAGAACGTATAATCACCAGAATTGCCGTTTTATTACAGTAAAATTCATTCTGCACTTGTGAATCTTTCCTTCATCTTCTAGGAAGAAAATTCATATATATGCTGACCCTATGGATGTAATTTTGAATTTTTTGTGGTTTTCCGGGAAATTTTTGCATGGCCAGTCAACAGAAAGAGAAACCATTCATTATGCTTATGCAATTTTCCGGAAAATGCTTTCTTTATTTATTTATTATTTTTTTTTTTCTAGTCGTGACGGTTGACTTGAGAGTCTAAAGATGATAACGTTGACACAGAAAGACATTTCTCTGAATTTTCTTTGAAAACTTCCGTGTGAAACAATTTTTTTTCTCCTTTCCACGTGAGTTGGAAAAAAAGCTAGCAAGAAAAATAAAATGCACAATATTTTTTTTTTTCAAGAATCAAAATGAAAACGACCATTTGGAAAGGTTAAAAATTTGCGAAGTGATAAGATTTATCTATCATATCCATTAAATTCAAGATTATAAAAAAACTAATTTGAGAAAAATTGAATCTTAGCCTGCATTCTTTAACATAATACATTAACTTACAAGACGAAAACTAAAAGACGACAAAGAAAATACAAAAAGGGTCCAATACATATACTTTAGAACAATATTTTAAGTTGCAATTTGCAATTCCTCGAAAGATCAAACTTGGCATGAGCATTGGCCTGCCCCATTTTGAATTTCGTGGGAGAAGGAGAAGGAGAAAAGTAACCTTATTTAAGTTTCCATATTTAAAAAAAAAAAATGCAATGTCTTTTACTTGATAAAGTTCAAAAGGTGTCGA